GTTTTTTATTGTTGTTTAGCAAATTAATTTTTTAAAAACTTTTTTTCAGATTGTAATTTGCCCTATACATACATATGTTTAATTCACAACATCATCAAACTGAAATATAAAACATATACATTTAATAACATATATAACTTCAGCTACCCCCAACCCAATCCCCTGTGATCTCTTTAAAATGGGGTTTCCAGAAAAGAAATGCTAACATGTTAGAAATAATGTACAGCAATCAAGAATACAGGGTGGCACAGTGGTTTGGTGGTAAGCACTGTTGCCTCACAGCAAGAAGGTCATTGGTTTGAGTCCCGGCTGGGTCAGCTGGCATTTCTGTGTGGAGTTTGCTCTCCCTGTGTTGGTGTGGGTTTTCTCCGGGTGCTCCGGTTTCCCCCACAGTCCAAACACATGCACTTTAGGTAAATCTAATAAAATAAATTGACCTTAGTGTATGAGTGTGAGTGTGTGAATGAGTATGGGTGATTCCCAGTACTGGGTTGCAGATGGAAGGGCATCCGCTGCGTAAAACATATGCTGGTGGTTAATTCTGCTTTGGCGACCCCTGAAATAGAGACTAAGCCAAAGGAAAATGAATGAATGAATGAATGAATGAATCATGATCATTGTTTTGTGCAATAAACATGCAGATATTGTCAGTATAGCTTAAGTCCAGATATTTAATGTACACATTATACCAAGCTCAGTCGAACTGTGCATGATTCCAGCATTATAATGTCCTAAATTTGTATTAATTTGCCATATATTTTTCTAAGTTCTCTTTTTTTTTTCATTTTGGCTCTTTTTTTTTTCTATCCTTGTCTACATTTAGCATTGTATGTGCATGCGTGCATCTTCATCTTGTCCACACTTAAGTCAGCAGCACTCGATCCGGCTCTTCTCTGCCAGGCTCCAGGAGATCAGTATAAAGACTAATGGAAATCTGCACGGCTGCGTTGCCCTCTCTCATAGAGTTCTTAGGACCCCCCTGTTGAGTATCTGGCAACACAGGAGAGACTCTGTGCCAGGTTTTACCCCCCGAGCGACTCCCCGCACCCCGCTCTCATATCCATCTTTCCCAGTCCCCCTTTCCCAACACTACGCTTCTTTTACACAACCGCCTGGAGAGGTAAACACTTTGAGTCGCATTGCAAAATAGCCAACTGGTGATTTAAGTCGTACAGTTTTGAGTGTATATAACACAGAAACATTCTCTGAGAATTGTTTGTGTTCCAAAACTTTTAACGAAACCAAACCATCATAAACTGTTTGGGCAATGGTCGTATTTTGAGAGCCACTCTTGATTTCCCAACCCACATTCGCTTTTATTTTGTAAACATCGCAGATGCAGAAATCACCATATGGAGTTTGTAACTACTGACTAATTCTCTCCGAGTCTTTCGCTGTCCAATAAGGAGCTGCTCACTGTTGTTTTGTAGCATTTTAAACCACAGGAGCCTGGGTTTGCCAGATTACAACCAGACTTAAATATGTGTGTGTGCGCCTTGTATTCCTTTCAGAAACAAATGTCCCCACAAGTATAGCAAGACCAGTAAATTTTTTCCTTCTGGGAAAATTTCTACACAGCAATAAAAAGTTTTTATAGTTAGTTTGTTTGTCTTGTTTGTAGTTTAAATATCTAAAAAGAAAAATCTGAAATCTAAACAAGCGAAAAATATAGTCTTGTTTTAAGAAATATTATGCCAATTTTTTTTTCTAAATTTATTCTTCCTAAATTAAGCCAGGTAATCTGCCAAAGGAATAAGCTAAATAATCTTGTTTTTCGTTTTGACATGAGATTAAATGAGCTTATTTAGGTGTAGAGCAGTTTTCAGAAGATATATACTTGGAGACAGGGCAAAAGGTCTTCCAATGATCTGAACTAGTTTGTGGATTTCTTTCCAGTATGTTTTAATCATGTCACTATCCCAGAATACATGCGTCACAGTACCAACATTGGATTTGCACTTAAATTGAGAAAAATTAGGAAATATCTAGCAGCACGAGTGGTCTTTAATGAACCTAAAAGAGCACATGTCACTCCGCTACTCATCCGTTTGCACTGGCTGCCAGTTGCTGCTTGTGTCAAATTCAAAGCTCTGATGTTTGCTTACAAAGCGACTTCTGGCTTTGCTCCTTCTTATCTGCTCTCACTTCTGCAGATCTATGTGCCCTCCAGAAACTTGCGTTCTGTGAATGAACGTCGCCTCTTGGTTCCATCCCAAAGAGGGAAGAAATCTCTTTCCCGAACTCTTCGCGTTCAATCTGCCCAGTTGGTGGATGAACTCCCTAACTGCATCAGAACAGCAGAGTCACTCGCTGTCTTCAAGAAACGACTAAAAACTCAACTATTTAGTCTCCACTTTGACTCTGGTTCGTCCGCTAACTGTATTACAAAAAAACAAAAAAAACTTACATGACTAATGTTTTGCTTCTTACACTTTACACACCTGAAACTTGCCTACAGCACTTATTCATTGTTTCTCTTATAGTTGTGTAAATTGCTTCCTTGTCCTCATTTGTAAGTCGTTTTGGATAAAAGCGACTGCTAAATGACTAAATGTAAATGTAAATGATCTCATTGAAAATTAATTTTATAAGATTTATTCTTGTGCAGCAGCAAAGCAGCTTGGGAAACATTTTTAATACTGATTAATGATTTTAGATGTTTCAAAATTGATTCGCTTTATGTTTCTCTGTGCATGGATTTCATTTGTGATTGTGTGTATATGTGTGCGTGTGTTTTTGTGTTGTATTGACCCTCAGTTTGATTTCATCACAATACTGCAATAAGAGTTATTTTAGTCTTGTTTGTGCACTAAACATAGAAACGCTCTACCAATAATTCAGCTGTCAGTCATCGCTTAACAAATAAAGCTCATGACGCATTAGCAAGAAGCTATTTAAATCCTTCTTGAATAAACATCTTGCTTTTTCTCTTTCTCCACAATGCAAGCCAGTTACTGCCGTCTCGCTTCAGCCAAAACTAACTAATAAGCAAACAGCTATTCATTTTGAAATTGAGTAAACAAAATTAAATGTCTTGCATCACCATGATTACCAACATTACCGTTGTGTGTGTTGCTAAAGGGCCAAGTTTATATAAACTCTCTTAAATAAAGCAGAATTAAAAACAGTTAAAAGATGAATTAAAGATTTAAAGCATTGTTCTGTTTGTTTGGGCAGTGAGACCAGCCTGATGTTGTTAGCCGACATGCTACATTATGCTCACATTGACTGCAGAAAAGTGCACTATTTGAATCTATAGTTAAGCCAAGTCTGGCGTATAGTATTAAAATGCAGATGTTAGTTAGAGCTGTGGTGAACAAACTTTCAATCTGCATCGCTATTGAAAAACTAGCCTAGAGTGCCATCTGCTGTTAGAAACTAGCCTAGAGCACCATCTGCTGTTTATACCTAGAGCTTTATCTGCTGTTAAAAACTAACCTACAGCGCCATCTGCTGTTACAAACTAGCCTAGAGCTCTGTCTGCTGTTCAAACTAGCCTAGAGCGCCATCTGCTGTTTAAAAACTAGGCTATAGCACCATCTGCTGTTTATACCTAGAGCTTCATCTGCTGTTAAACTAGCCTAGAGCGCTATCTGCTGTTAAAACTAGCCTAGAGTGCTATCTGCTGTTAAAACTAGCCTAGAGCGCCATCTGGTGTTAAAACTAGCCTAGAGCACCGTCTTCTGTTTAAAAACTAGGCTATAGCACCATCTGCTGTTTATACCTAGAGCTTCATCTGCTGTTAAAACTAGCCAAGAGCGCTATCTGCTGTTAAAACTAGCCTAGAGTGCTATCTGCTGTTAAAACTAGCCTAGAGCGCCATCTGGTGTTAAAACTAGCCTAGAGTGCTATCTGCTGTTAAAACTAGCCTAGAGCGCCATCTGCTGTTTAAAAACTAGGCTATAGCACCATCTGCTGTTTATACCTAGAACTTCATCTGCTGTTAAACTAACCTAGAGCGCTATCTGCTGTTAAAACTAGCCTAGAGCGCCATTTGCTGTTAAAACTAGCCTAGAGCACCATCTGCTGTTTATACCTAGAGCTTCATCCGCTTTTAAAAACTAGCATAGAGTGCTGTCTGCTGTTTAAACTAGCCTAGAGCACCGTCTGCTGTTTAAACTAGCCTAGAGCGCCATCTGCTGTTTAAACTAGCCTAGACCACCATCTGCTGTTTAAACTAGCCTAATGCACCGTCTGCTGTTTAAACTAGCCTAGAGTGCCGTCTGCTGTTTAAACTAGCCTAGACCACCATCTGCTGTTTAAACTAGCCTAATGCACCGTCTGCTGTTTAAACTAGCCTAGAGCGCAGTCTGCTGTTTAAACTAGCCTAGAGCGCCATCTGCTGTTTAAACTAACCTAAAGCACCGTTTGCTTTAAACTAGCCTAGAGCGCTGTCTGCTGTTTAAACTAGCCTAGAGCGCCATCTGCTGTTTAAACTAGCCTAGAGCGCTGTCTACTGTTTAAACTAGCCTAGAGCGCCGTCTGCTGTTTAAACTAGCCTAGAGCACCATCTGTTGTTTAAAACTAACCTAGAGCACCATCTGTTGTTTAAAACTAACCTAGAGCACCATCTGCTGTTCAAACTAGCCTAGAGTGATGTTTGCTGTTTAAAAACTTGCCTAGAGCACCATCTGCTGTTTAAAACTAGCCTAGAGTGCTGTCTGCTGTTAAAAAGCTTGCCTAGAAGGCCGTTTGCTGGTAAAATGAGCCTAGAGCGCTATCTTTTGGTGAAAACCAGCCTAGAGCGCCATCTGCTGTTAAAAAACAAAGTTTCCACACAAAAAATCAGCAATACCGATTTTTTTTTAAGAGTGCCAATTTGTCTATAAATTTCTCATATTTAGGAGGGATTTATTATTATTATTTAAATAAAATGACACCAAAGGCCATGTCAATTGTGCTCAGCTGTGTGCATATCTTGTGTGTATTACCTTGTAGTTTTTTTATACACTGTATGTGGATGAATTTAAAGTAACACTTCTACTTCTTTTCCTTCACAGTTTAAGAGGTTCCTCTGTGACTCTCCTTTAGAG